ATGCTCATCAAAGAGTGTCCATTTCTCCCGACCTAAACCGGCAAGCTAGCGAGCCCATGGCTCAATGATTAGAATGTTCGACTTCTGATCAAAAGGTCACGGGCTCGAAGCTCGGATGGTTTTTACCTGAAGAATTTGATAGTTGTAAATACCTCGGAGCGACGTTGCTACCAAATGGACAGCATAAGGATGACATTGTCTTCCGAATTGACGCAGCACGACGAGTTTTCTTCAGCCTTCGGAAGTGCTTATGGATCCGACACGATAGTTCTATCTTAACAAAGATCCGCGTGTACCGTGCATCTGTGCGCTGCGTTCTCCTATACGGATGCGAATGCTGGGATATGCGCGTGGGAGATGAACGGAGGCTGGAAGTCTTTGGCCAGTACTGTCTGAGGAACATCCTTAGAGTGAAGTACGGCGACTTCGTCTCAAATGAGACAGTCCGCACGCGCTGTGACAAAATCACAAGGATATCCCAGGCCATTCAGGAAAGACGGCTGAGGTGGTTTGGCCATTCAGGAAAGACGGCTGAGATGTTTGGACACGTTCTTCGTCGCCAACCTCAAGAGCTCAGTGCTAGTGCCCTCAACATGAAACCGTTGCCTAATTGGAAACGTCGAATCGGGGGTCAACTCAAAACCTGGCTCGACTCGGTCCGTCAAGACATGGCAGTGGTTCTTGGACCTTCGGTATTCGGTCTCTGGCGCTGGCGAAAAGAATGGGTTGAACTGTCCAGGTCTGCGGCCATGGATCGTCGCGCTTGGAGAAGCATCATTCGGGACATAATTGAGGCCGGCTAGATCGGTCATGATCGCAGCCGTAGCAAGTACAAGTAAGTGAGTAAGTACACCTGCGGTTGGATATGACTGGTTGATACCGTCTAATGAGCCGGAAATTGCCATTCCAGTAACTCTTATTTTTGCCGGCCATGCTATCCACTCTGCTCAGTGATTGATTGCACTTCAATGTGCTGGACTGAACGTTATGTAGGCTTAGGTTGGCTGAAACAAGAAGACTCTGTGATCCACCTGCTTGTTTTAACCCTCGCTAATTTCATTGGTGTCACTAGGGCTGTTTGAGACTCGTGCCTTGCTAGGTTTCTCTTTGCACAGTGGTTTTCCTAA